TACGCAAAATATTTTGCGTACGCAGCTTGATGAATCTACCCCCTGGACGCCGGGCGCAAATGCCAAGATGGAGAAACTCAAGCGTCCCTCCATAGCACTGGCCGGAATGAGCGAGGCCTGGTCGTACTTCATAACCCGCTGGGGCGAGTACAAGACGGGTACTAAAATTGTCGAACCCGACATAGTCACACACTGTGACAGCTACTGGAGTGCTGCAAGGAGGAGCTGAGAAAAGTTCTTACTCGCACGGCGGGCAAGAGCCTAGCGGGCAGTGACGAAAAAGACGTTCTCGCCGCCATGAAGGCGCTCGCCGTCCGAGCGGAGAACACCATGGTAGCTCGGGTGGCTCTGTCTAACATGTGGCAGGGACACGAGGAGCCCATCCGGTCGTTCCACGCCCGCGTCAAGGGGCAGGCGGACACATGCAAGTATGAGATGAAGTGCACCAAGGTGGAGTGCGATCAAGTCAAAGACTTCACGGAAGAGATACTACGCAATGTGATTGCCCGCGGCATCGCGGACCAAGAAATACAACTTGACCTGCTCGATGAGAAGAACCAGGACATGCCATTAAAGGACATGATAGAGTACATCGAGGCCAAGGAGTCTGGAAAGCGCTCGGCATTGCGCCTACTCGACCCTCAGAGCACGGATGCGATCAGTAGTTCGTATCGGCGGGGGAAACCGAAGGCCAAGCCCGAAGTGGTATGCATCTACTGCGGCGAGGTGGGCCACCGCAAGACGCCTCAGTGGCGCGCCAGACGCACCGAGTGCCCCGGGTATGGTAAGAAGTGCCTGAAGTGTAGCCGCCAGAATCACCTCGACAAAGCGTGCCGACACGAGGGAATTCGTATTCTCGGAGCCGTGGTGGTCAGATTCGCTGGTAACAGTGACGGCACTTCGGACCGCATATTCCTCTCCCGTGCAGCCTGCGTAGACCTGGGTATGATCTCGGACAAGTTCCCAACACTCGGGGAGGTGAACCTGCCGACCTCGGAATTGTGTGACTGCCCGCGACGTGCGGAGCCGCCAACCAAGCCGACCACACTCCCCATGCTGGCAACCGAGGCTAACAGGGAAGCACTACAGACACACTTTTTCAGCCCCTACCGAGAATGACCGGCCTGCCGCTACGTCTTATGCTCGATGAGAATGCGACACCGGTTGCCTGTCACACTTCCATCCCCGTGGCCATACTCTGGCGAGACAAGGTAAAAGCAGGCCTCGACCATGACGTTTGTATCGGCGTTTTGGAGGAAGTACTCGTCGGTACGCCGGTGACATGGTGTCACCACAAGATAGTCTGCGCAAAAAAACGGCAAGCTGCGACGCACCGTTGACTTCCAGGCCTTGAACAAGCATGCGTTCCGCGAGACCCACCACACCCAATCCCCGTTCTACCAGGTGAGACGCGTACCTAACGGGAAGCGCAAGACAGTGTTCGACGCATGGAACGGTTACCACAGCGTCCCATTACACGAGGACGACCGCCACAAGACGACGTTCATCACTCCATGGGGGTGCTACCAGTACCTATTGGCCCCACAAGGGTACATGGCATCGGGAGACGGTTACTCACGACGATACGACGAGATCGTCGCGGACACTGGACGACACGCTACTATGGTCAGATAGGATCGAGGGGAGCTACTTCCAGGTGGTCCAATGGCTGGATATATGC